ATAGCCTTGTCCTCCATGAATTTCTCTAATCCACTTTTAAAGCAATCTATAAAGACCTAAGGCATTCCAATCCATGGGTTGTTCAACTTCCTCTGTGGTGGCCTTGGTTAGGAACACATCGCCTATCCCTTCTCCATCTTGCTTGAGGATGCATTGAGGGATGGTTAGTAATAGGCAGGTGGTGCCTTGGGCTGCTTTCTGCCATGACGTTCCAGCTGCTCTTCTATTCACATGCCTGTTTTAGGGTCCCCCCTCACATTCCTTGTTTTTAGGAGCAATGTGGAAATCTTCCATTCTTAGATCTCTCTGATTATTGAGGTGTCTTGGAGCACATGCATTGACATTCCAGGTTTTATGTGCCTTATGGAGCTAACCTAACAACCTGGATGTCTTCTATGGATGAAGCCATCAATCCTGGGTATATTATCTAAGGCGTGCCAGGCAGAGTCTGTCTTCCTTCTCACTCATTGCTCCTCACTGAAGTATTTGATGCAATTCTTGTCCCATCGGCCCTCCCCTGTCATATACAAGTGCCTGTTCTCCTATGCCCTTAGGTTTGCCACGTGTCCTCTTTTTCCAGGACGTCCTCATTTTCCAGGGGTAAAATTTGAGACAAATTGCATTCATTTGCTTTGAATGGCCGTCATAGCTTCCTCTTTTTTGCTCTTCAAAATATGGCAACCCTGTGACTTGACTCTAAGGACCAGCAAGGGAGTCTCCTGCTGCTCCTGCAAGATCTCTCTCAATAGCATGCAGTCCTATAAAAAAGGAGGATGCACCAGGCTATTCTTTGTGTGTTTTGAGAATTGCTAGCTGCAATTGAATGCTAAGCATTTATTAGATGGCAAACTACTCAGGAGTTTGGGTACCTACAGGGCAGAGCCAATGAGATGTCTTTCCCCCCCAGACATGTGCTTCTAGCACTGTCAACATCTGAAGCCATTCTGATCCAGGTTTGAATAAGGGTCATAGCTCAGTGGTTAGAGCATCCACTTTGCATGCAGAAGGTCCCAGGTTCAATCTGAAGCATCTTCAGGTAGGGCTGAAATCCTGGGAAGCTGCTTCCATTCATTGCAGACAATGGCTTGACTCAGTGTAAGGCAGCTTTTTACCTTCCTAGATTAGGAACTGGAGGTTTGAACCCTGGTACTTGCAGTGGCATGTCTTAGTTGACAAAGATGCTTTCGTGTTGGTTTGACTTCTTTAGATCTGCCCGAAATCAGTGTCAGCCATGTGAATCTGACTGTGTGTGAGGGGGAAAATGCTGTCATCACCTGCAATGGTTCCGGCTCACCCCTTCCTGATGTCGACTGGATGGTGGTAAATCTACGCTCGATCAACACTCATCAGGTAGGATGCTAAATCCAGGTGCTTTTCTGCTTTAATCGCCCAGAGAACTTCTCTGTATATATGGAGGATCCTCAGTTTAATATTAGTTGGCCTTCAATGCCCATCAAATTTGTTAAAGATGTGCACGATGCATGGTAATCTATATGGTAGATTTCTCTTGATCCAGGGGCACAAATTGGCCAAGGGTTCAACAGTTCTTTTGTGTGTGTGTGTGTGTGTGTGTTTAAACATTCCTCCCCCTCTCTCTTGGTTATTTTTAGACAAACGCCAACTGGACCAATGTCCATTCCATCAATCTAACCCTGGTGAATGTCACAAGTGAGGACAACGGGTTCCTGTTGACGTGTATTGCCGAGAACGTGGTGGGGATGTCTAATGCAAGTGTGCTTCTCACTGTATACTGTAAGTTAATGGGGAAAGGGAAAGGTGAGGGTTCATGGGAGACAGAGAGGGAGGGCAATGACATGGAAAGTATTCATTTGTACATGCACACACAGCACACAAAAACTTACATCTTGATGCATGGCAATTCTACACTAGAAACACATTCCATATCTATCATAGAATTCCCAAAGTAGAACTGGGAATTGTTCTGCAAGGGTGCTGAGATTTCTCCAGGGTTCCCCAGAGTGAAAGAGAGGATACTACTAATAGACATGCCCACTCTCTCAACCAACACGCAGCTTAGGCCCAGCCAGAGGAGGCTGGTCCAGTAGGGCAAACGAGGCACTGCCCAACTGACCGCCATTTGTCCTCAACTATTCCTTACCTGGGGATGCGGGTGGTTCTGTGGGTTAAACCACAGAGCCTAGGACTTGCCAATCAGAAGGTCGGCGGTTCGAATCCCCTCGATGGGGTGAGCTCCTATTGCTCGGTCCCTGCTCCTGCCAACCTAGCAGTTTGAAAGCACGTCAAAGTGCAAGTAGATAAATAGGGACCGCTCTGGCGGGAAGGTAAACGGCATTTCCATGCGCTGCTCTGGTTCGCCAGAAGCAGCTTAGTCATGCTGGCCACATGACCCGGAAGCTGTATGCTGGCTCCCTTGGCCAATAAAGCGAGATGAGCACCACAACCCCAGAGTCAGCCACGACTGGACCTAATGGTCAGGGGTCCCTTTACCTTTATTTCTTACCTACTTATGTTTGCATTAAGAGTGATCCAGTTGCTGCCAATGTAGAGATTAAGTGCATCCACAACAGGGAGAGGCTGACTAGAAGGAGGCAAGGACAGAGCAGTAAATCATACAGAGATGCATCAGGCACACTCCTCTGAAGATGGGGATTTTGGCCACATGGGAGACTTCAGTATTTGTGTTATTTTCTCTTGGAACATGCTGAACTGTTCTGCCGTGGTTTACAGATTTGGAAATTGCTGCCCAGAGACTGTTAAGTGTTGCAGTAGCTTCCTACATCTGTAAACATTTTCCCATGGGTCAAATCCTTGAGAATCTTTCCTAATATGTGCACATTTCCTTAACACTCCTCTCCCCACCCCCAGAGACTTGCAAATGGGAGAGAATTACCTTCCACGCTCCAGCTTGCCCATGTATGCCTGTATGCTTCAATTTTATGTGCAGAGCAGCAGCTGAGTGGAATTCCATAAGTGCGTAGCGAGATAGTCAGAAATGAAATATTGAAGAGGGGACAGAAGATTCTCCGCCTTTGTAATGCTCACAGTCCTGCCCAATGGCTAAAAGGTGCATCGTGTTCCCCGCTGGGATGCACAGCCAAACTCCATTAGGATATATGGATGCTCACCATGATGTACGTCAGCTTACAGCTGTATCGTACTCGCAACATAAGTATTATGACCTGAAATAATAGAGTATGGGGGATGTAGCAGGGGGCCTGTTCTCTACAATGAAAGCCAGTGTGGTGTAGTGGTCAGAGTGCTGGATGAACACCTGGGAGACCAGGGTTCAAATCTCCACTCAGCCATGAATCTCACTGGGTGACCTTGGGCCAGTCACAACTTCTGGGCTTAACCTACCACACAGGGTGGTTGTGGGAATTAAACGAGAAGGTGGAGAACCATGTACGCTACTTTGAGCACCTTGGAGAAAAAGGTAGGATGTAAATGTGATCTGTCAGTTGGTGGTGTAGGAAGTGGGGTGCGGCGGGTGCGGTCCACCCCAGGTGTCACCACTGGGGGGGGGGTGACCACAGGGCCTGGCCTGCAGCCTCTCCTGGGAAGAGACGTGGTGGCTCGGGCACCTGCAGCCTCCACGCTGCCCGAAACAGCAACGTGGGGCTTGCAGACTCCATGGAGGTTCCACGCGGCATACTCTGCCCCGGCTTGCCCTACCCCGTGGGCTGCTTGCTCTGCCTCCAGGTGCAGGGCATTTGCACCGCCCTGGGTGCCTGAGCAGCTAGCTTCGCTGTCAGTCAAACATTTGTCACCACTCTGCACAGGGGCTATCCATAGAATGCTTTTAGAAGCAGCCATTTTCCCACTCAGAATCTCACTTGTCCTTATCTAACATCTTTTCCCCTCGTATTCCATCTCCAAATGTGTGCAGTGACAAGTGTTGGGTACTCCAATGAACAAAGGGAGTGGAGATATTTGTGAACCTGAATGTTGCGCCAATACCTTGTTGTGTATTGGTTGTACAGGATACCCATAACCTGCATTAAAGTTCTACTTCCATGGTGAGGCACGGATGTCACTAGATTAGAACTGCTATAACCCATGACTGTTAGCCAGGCTGCCAGAGACTGGTGGGAGATGGAGTCCAACAACCCCTGGGAGGCCACAGGTGCCCTGCTGCTGATTTCCTGCATCCACAAGAATGCCTTTAAGTTGGAATAGGAAGTGGGGAACCCTGTCAACAAATCCTGCCCTACCAACCCTGCCTACCAGCTACACCAACCAATCCTGCCAACTTCCCCTGCCCAGCCAAGCTGGACTGTAGATTCTGCAGGACAGGGAACCTGCAATCCTCTAGGTGCTGTCATGCTGCAACACCTATCAGTTCTAGTTAACGTGACCAGGGGTCAATGGGGGTTCTGGTCCAGGGATGGGGAACCTTTCTCAGGTCAATGGGCACATTCTCTTCTGAGCTACCTTCCAGAGGCCAAAAGTGGATGAAGCAACAAATGCGAATTTTATCTTTGGTACAGAAGGCTAGTTTTCTACAAATAGTCAAACATCCTCTTCATCCAGAGGAAGCATTACCAGACTCATTCTGGACAGACGAAGACAGGATAAGAAGCAGGGCTAGTGAGAGGGGTGGCCTGGGAAGAGTTCTGAAGGCCAGGCAGAGGTTCCCCACCCATTCTGGTCTAACAACATCTGGAAGGTCACTGCTTCCCCACTCCTGTCTTAAATAAGAGGCATCTTAGAATTGTAGAGATGGAAGGGGCCACGAGGGTCGTCAAGTCCAACTTGGATTTGATATCCCGCTTTATCACTACCCTAAGGAGTCTCAAAGCAGTCACAGTCTCCTTTCCCTTCCTCCCCCACAACAAACACTCTGTGAGGTGAGTGGGGCTGAGAGACTTCAGAGAAGTATGACTAGCCCAAGGTCACCCAGCAGCTGCATGTGGAGGAGCAGAGAAGCGAACCCGGTTCACCAGATTACAAGTCTACTGCTCTTAACCACTAAACCACACCACACTGGCTCTTTCTATGGAATAAATACAGGAATATTTTGCCCAATGTGGGGCTCGAACCACTCATCCTGAGATTATGAGTCTCCTGCTCTACCAACTGAGCCATCCCAGAGCTTTCCTTGCAGGTTGTGAAAGTAGTGACTGCATTTTGCAGGTGGGGGCAGAGTTAAAGGACGGATGTCGCTCACCACACCAAAGAAAAAAGAGGAGAGAGAGTTTCCTTTCTATATTTTACCTTGCACCCTCAAAAACTTTTTGCAAGTTAGATCCAGCTTCCCTCCTCCATTTTTTCCAGAAAGCTGAGGCTGTTGAGACCGTGCTGTCCTTTGTTGGCTGCCATTTTCATGTTGCCTTTTGTCTTCCCTTGCTCAGATCCTCCCCGGGTGATCAGCTTATTGGAGCCCATCCGCCACATGGAGCACTGCATTGAGTTTTCGGTGCACGGGAACCCTCCGCCCCAAATCCATTGGCTCTACAACGGCCAGATTCTCAGGGAGACAGAGTTCATCCGCATGGAGTTCTTCCAGGAGGGGGAAGTGTCTGATGGCTGCTTGCTCTTCAACCACCCGACGCACTACAACAATGGCAACTACACCATCGTCGCCACCAACTACCTGGGAACGGCCAACCAGACAGTCAGAGGGCACTTCCTGGAGAAACCCTTTCCAAGTGAGAGACTGACAATCCTCTCCCCTATCCCTCTTCTTTTCTGTCCCTGAGGAGAAACTCACAGACTAGAAGAACCTCAGAGGGCTCCAAAATTACCAACTCTGATGAGATCTGTGGCTGAACTGAGGCTGTGAAAAGCCTCCCCCCACCCTTAATCTAGGCCCAAGATTTGGGGCCCCAGATCAGCTCTGAGCCAGGCTGACTGGGAAACACCTGAGCTGGTCTGAGTCTAGTCCAGAGTCATTCAAGAATCAATTCCTTTTTACTGGGAACTCTGGGCCTTGTAGCTGTGAGAGGCTGAATAGGACTTTCCATACAACTCTCACCATCCTTAACAAACTGCAACTCCCAGGATTCTTTCGGGGAAGCCTGGGTTGTGTAACACATACCCGCCAACATTTCTCTGGTGAAACTAGGGACAATCTATTCCATTATTCTTATTCTTATTCTTATTCTTATTCTTATTCTTATTCTTATCCCACCCATCTTACTGGGTTGCCCTAGCCACTCTGGGCAGCTTCCAACATATATAAAAACATATTTTCAATGTTTTTTTTCTGTTGAAAACAAAGTTGTCCTAAGGAAAAGTGGGACATTCCAGGATCAAATCAGAAACCGGGATGGCTTTTGTAAATGCGGGACTGTCCCCGGAAAATAGAGACACTTGGGAGGGTCTATTAATGTGGTGTCATAGTGCTTTAAATGTGTGACGTGAATGTGACCTGTATCTTTCCCTCTCGCTCTTGCCCCCTCTCCACAAGAGGACACAACAAGCAATTTTACATTCCTGCAATCTAGGAGAAAGAGCAACAGGGCCCTTGCAGTGCCTTCCAATTTTGGCTTAAGCAGGCCCCTGTAGAATTAGATTTCGCAGGCATAGGCATGCTTGCTGCCGTCTGGAATGCTGCTGTGAGAAAGAGGAGCGCCCTTTGCTGTCTCCCACAGCCCTGTCTCCCACAGCAAAATAGGACATTTTGCTATATTTAGAGAGTGCGATACCAATGGTATTCTAATTTATTATTTATACCTCGCTATACATGAAGCCCTCACTGCAGATGAGATATAGCCCATTAAAAGTGGAATCCTTCCCTTTGAGAACAAGCTATCTGTTGAGGTCCCAGCCGTCTTAGACTGGAGCAGAGAAATTATATTTGGGGCTTGGAGGCTGATAAGCTTTCTGGCAAAGGGCTAGTTCACACAAGCAGCAAATGAGGTTCTAAGACCATTTATGGGCTCGCGCCACTGGCTGGGAGTAGGAAAGTTGAGACTATAGAAAACAACTCCTGGTTTGTGCAAAATTATCTCACCAGGGGACAAGCTATGCAAGAACTCCCCCCCCCCCCACAACATGTTAGTTCTATGTGTGCAGAGAGGCTTTTTAAAATATGTATATAATGGGGAAACTTTATCATTTATTTATTGAATTTCTACCCCGCTCTTCCTCCTGAAAAAGAAGCCCAGGGTGTCAGTGATGCAATCTGTTTTCAGTTATGCAATTATCTATTTCAGGGGTAGGGAACCTGAAGCAGGAAATAGGAACAAGTGTTCCTATTTGCCATGGACTGCTGTCCCAGTTTCTGATTTGATCCCAGAATGTCCCACTTTTCCTTAGGATGTCCCTATTTTCATCGGAGAAATGTTGGAGGGTATGGAATTATGTGACCCCCTGAGCCAAGGAGATAAGTACTGTATTTACACGAATCTAATGCACTATCGAATCTAATGCGGACCTCAATTTTCAAAACCTTGAAACCGAAAAAGTATTTGCTGGCGAATGTAAATGCGCTATCAAATCTAATGCACACCCTATTTTTTGTGATGTAATTTGGCCAAAAAAGGTGTGCATTACCATAGCTGTCAACGTTTCCCTTTTTAAAAGGGAAGTTCCCTTATTCCGAATAGGATTCCTCGCAAGAAAAGGGAAAGGTTGACAGCTATGTGCATTACATTTGAGTAAATACAACAACTATACAACCTTTAGAAGACATCTGAAGGCAGCCCTGTATAGGGAAGGTTTAAAATGTTTAATGTTTTATTCAGTGCTTTTTTTCTAAAAAAAAATGTTTAGGGGTACTCTCATTTTGACTCAAGAAAATCACCATTTTATAGTTCAAATCGGGGAAAATAAATACAGTAAATGGACAAAAGTCAAAAGATCCACAAAATGTTTAGGGGTATGCGTACCCCTGCATCCCCCCCAGAAAAAGCACTAGTTTTTTTTATTTATTTATTTGTGTGTGTGTTTTATTATATATGTTGGAAGCCACCCAGAGTGGCTGGGGCAACCCAGTGGGGTTTAAATATAATAATAATAATAATAATAATAATAATAATAATAATAATAATTGTTGAATAGAATAATCCTAATTTCATCAGAGAAATGTTGGAGGGTATGCTGAAGTCCTCCAAATGTTGCTAGACTCCAACTCCCATCAGCCCCAAGCTGTGTCATCAATGGTTGAGGATTATGGGAGATGTTAGTCCAACAACATCCATAGAGCCACAGGTTCCCCACCTGCCTTATCTGTAGTCTAGTGTGGCTCAGTTCAGGAATACTTTCCCCAGCTCACTTGCTTCTCTCACCCCCACTCTGCCATATGAAATAGGCCTAAATTAATTTGCTCTGGGCTGTGTAGCACATATTGAAGTTCTAAGTTCCACCCACAGCTTCTCTGATTAAAGGGCTCTCAGGTAGCAAGTGATGGGAAAGCCTTACTGCCAGTCACAGTATAGCATACTGGGAAAAGAGGAAAGAACCATATGTACTGGGCCGAACCATTGTCCATCCAGCTCAGTATTGTGTGCACTGAACCTTTTTGCCCCAGCTGGCCAGATCCTTAGCTGGCTCCACCACCTTGGACCAGTGTTAACAAGAGGGTGAGACAACCCATATGCCAATAAACAAATGCCATGGATCAACAGGTAGGTTGTTCCACCTGCCTGTCCAAGTCCGTTGTCCAGAGCTGGCTCCACCACCTTGGACCAGTGTTGACAAGAGGGTGAGACAACCCACATGACAATAAACAAATGCCATGGATCAACAGGTAGGTTGTTCCACCTGCTTGTCCAAGTCCGTTGTGCAGAGCTGGCTCCACCACCTTGGACCAGTGTTGACAAGAGGGTGAGACAACCCACATGACAATAAACAAATGCCATGGATCAACAGGTAGGTTGTTCCACCTGCCTGTCCAAGTCCGTTGTCCAGAGCTTCACAGACACCTGACATACAGCTGCTTGTTGGGTGCTTGGAAACCCCAGCCCAAGAGGTTTTGCTGCTCCGGTAACACCATGCAGTTTCCATTGAAACCTCTGCCGGGGAGGGGGCAGAGGGAAAAAGCTCTGTTTAGCAGTGACTTCAATGCAAACTATTAGTGCTATTTGAATAAGGTGCCCACCCCACTGCCTATCAAGTGATGGGCAGGAAGAGCATGTCTTGCTCCCGTGAAGGAACAGTGAGGAGCTTACTGTAAGATCCCAATTGTTCCTTTGTAGTCACATCAGAACCCGCCCTACACCTGATCTCACATATGAAATCAGGCATGGAACAGGTGGATGTGGTTTAGGTGAGGCTTGATGGGCCAAATTTGGCTGGTGTGTCAGTGATTCCCTACTCCTGGCCTACACTTAACCAGCTGCAGTTCTCCAGGATTTCAGAGAGCAGGTCAGGCATAGGCAAACTCAGCCCTCCAGATGTTTTGGGACTACAACTCCCATCATCCCTGACCACTGGTCCTGTTAGCTAGGGATAATGGGAGTTGTAGTCCCAAAACATCTGGAGGGCCAAGTTTGCCTCTGCCTGGAGTAGGTCTTTCCCAAGTAAACACAATAATGTCAGGGGTTGACCCTGACATCAAAGCAGATGTTCTACCACTAGTCTGGGTTAGCAGAGCAAACGGTCAGACCTGGTGTAATTCAGTATTCAAGGTTCCAGGTAGGTCTTCTGCAATTAGGAAACAGTCACTGTTTTGTAGCCACTGGATCCACATTTTCAAAAGTCTTTACGATCCCTCCCTCCTCAGGATTCATCCATTTGAAATGGAATTGCTATTAACCTACGGCGTGTTCTGAGCACAATACGATTAGGGTTCCTCAAATCAAACCCTGTGTGTTCCACTCGTTGGTAGATGAAAAGAGATGCTTAATTTAGCTAGCATGTAGCGTCATACATTTTCTCAGGGGATTAGGCAGTATTTCACACACAGGTAAGCCTCTTGCAGATCAGAGCTTAAGGTGTCATCCTATTGTGCAATGAGGATAAGCTAATGCTAAATGGTGGCTTCAGATCCTTCTTCTATACTGGCAATTCGGCTATATTTAATAAAACCTATTGAGCAGCGTTGTGGATGACATACATTTCTGTTTCTTTAGTATGAACATGTTATACACATAGCAATAAGACTTAGCTCACTGGAAGGGTATCTGCTTTGCATACAGAAGATCCTTGA